CCTGGTGCTTATTATAGCAGATCCTGTCTTGCTGTGTTTTTGAAAACAGCTCTGGAATCAAGTAAACACTTAGAGCTGGTATGACCACTGCTCCATCATAAATAAAACAGCACCACGTTTGGACTTTTCTTAAGTGTTTCTAATCAATACTAGGCATCTTTTAAGACACTGAATTCGGTTTTACATTTTTCAAATTGTGACAGTTGAAGAGGAACTCTCAGGGTGATTTCAGCAGCCAAACAAGAGTTAATTATCTTTACTGCCTAAATCCACAATCTGTCTATTCAACCTGTACAGAGCTGAACTGCTGTTGTGTAAGATTTAGGGGCATTTATCCAGACAGAGGAAGCCTAGTGTTCCCCAAGCATAGCCATTTGCTGAAAGCTCTTTTGTCACACATATTCTTTGTCCCACCATCCATCTACATAGATCTTACGTAGTAATTTTACCAATCATGTGGGTTTGAAGAGATATAACACTTTTCTTCAGGGGATCGAATTACCCTTTCCGTGTGCAAAAGGTTTTTTTGGGGGGGGGGTGGAAAGGATAAAATACCTCAGCACTTCAACATTCTGGATCCCTATCTTTTCATTTTCAAAATTGTTAACTTCCACCGACTGAGTCTAGAATTGCAAGCTGCTTTCTGTCACGGTAATTAATGGGTCCCTGCGTTGTCATGTGCTGAAATGTTGTTAATGTCTTAACCATTGTCAAAATCACAGAAACACTTTTTGTCAAACTGCAAGGAAGCATCCTGCCCCCCAATATACCTCCTGACTGCAATTTGGACTGTGATGGGAACTTGAGATAGGACTATTGTCTAGTTATCTCAGGTCTAAGGAGAAGTAAACAAAGCTCAGCGAGTGGAGGAAGGCAAGGATTTTGGGGGTGTGATGGAGAAATCTCTCCACACAAAACAGGAGTAAAACCCCGCCTCCAGAAAGAACACATATATACAGGGGACATTCATATGAGAGGCAGCTGAGAAGGGGACATAAACCATGAAGGGTTCCCCCTCCTGCCCCCTTTGAGGCATTCCTGAGGCTTTCCACTACCAGAGGACTGCACTGTGATCCAAGTGATGCAACAAATCCAGAACTTGTCACAACAGACTGCAAAGTTTCCCCCCTCAGAGGAGCTGCCTGGGTATCTCTTGAACGTGTATTAATCCATTGGACTCTTATGTTTTGTGGGACCCTCACCACCAAGTAGACTAGAAGAAGAGGGCCCATGGGATGCCACTGAGTTCTACGGAGTCATGACACATATTCTATTTAATATCTGTCACTTTCTTTCTTCCCCGCTCCTCCTTTTTCCTATTTCTTTCTTTCTCTCTGCCTCGCATTTACTATTAAATAAAATCCATACTGTTGACTTTGGCATATGATCTGATTTGTACCTTAATTTGGGCAGAGACATTTCTAATAATTTTAGCAACACAGCATTCTGTGATTTAATATCATAGCATTCTGTCACTGGAGATACTCAAGATATGCCTGGACACAATCTTGTGCAATGTGCTCTGGGACGATCCTGCTTGGCCAGGGAAGTTGGACCACATGACCCACTGTGGTCCCTTCCAACCTGACTGGTTCTGTGGCTCTGTGGTCTGTGAAGTATCAACATTATGACAGCATTCAGGGATAGCACCACTCAGACACAAACATCTGGTGGGATACAGCTAGAATCAATACCACAAGTTGTGTGAAATCAATTTATGTTCACAGGTCGACCTCAAATTTGCATGGGCTACAGCACTTCATGAAGCCAGTGTTTCTAAAACCAAGTTAAAACTAGTAACAAGAGACTCGATAAACATGCAGTGACAGTGCAAGCAAGCACACTTCACTGGTTTTAATGTGGATGTGAAACTACAGCCTTAAACCTCCAACCAGAATTACTGATGAAAGTCCCATCATTCATTCTTATAGTACTGAATAGCTAGGGATAAGGGAGGGCAAGCTTTGTTTCCTCTAAACCTGCCTTCATGTTGTTTGTATGTGCAATAAACCACAATCTCAGCACCGATTTCCACACTACCACTGAGTGTTACTGCTTCTTGCAACCTCAACCAACCCTCCCCATTTGCTCTCCTTTATCTTGGGTATTAATTTTGTGACAATCTGAGCTGGCTGAAAAATATTCATTTTATTACTGTGAAATTAGCTTTATTCAAGGTCAGTTTTAGGCAGCGATGTAGACTTGTGTTAGCCTGAGTGCATGCATGATTTCACTGCAGCAAGGCAGCTAGGCAATACCTCATGCTTCCATGGCCTTTCTCCACCAGGCTGGGTACTTGAATTCCATTATATTTTGGTTTATTTCTTTCCCTTTTTGCCTACGTACTCCCTTATTTTAAAGCATGACATCAGTCACAATAATGCTTCAGGATGCCATACTAAAATCATAAATATATAAAAAAAAATTGTGATGTGTTTTTCCTTGAGCTCAGTGCCTGAGCTCATTTTCATCTTCTCTGTGTTGCATGGTCTAATTTCTTTGCAGATGTGCAGCATTAGGTTTCATAGTCAGATGTATTCTCTGTCAGGGAAAAATATCTGCTGCACTGCAGCATGTACCTTCTCTGGCATGTCCACAAAAGGCACCTGCAGAAATACTGTTAGTCTCTTCAGATTATATGCAATGGGATTGTTACTCTCTCCTTTGTGAAAAGAAAGTACGAAAAAGCTAAGGAAAAGACAATTAACATATTGCTATGACAGGCAGAAATTCCACGGTGCCAACACTAGCACTGCAGCACTTACAGAGACTGACTTATTCTACATCATCACTGACCTGATATCAACTGCACTCTCCTTACTCTAGAGCTTGGTGTCTACAACTACATGATAATCAGTTTATATCATCTTACTAAAGACACAAAACCTGTTTTTATAAACTGCACAGATTAACATTTAGACAAAACCTAAGTAGTAAAATTTCACAGTTTGATGCCTTGTCTTTGAATTCAACAAATTAAATCGCAACAACTTTTAAAACTAGAGTTTAATTCTGCTATTCCTCCAAGTTTTTGTGTAATGGGTGCATAAATTTTGTCTGGTCATTTACTTTTACTGGAGCTCTGCTTCTCGGAAGCTAAAATTACAATCCAACACGTAAGTCACTTTATGTTTAGTGTTTATTTTTAAAATAATTAATTCAAGTAACATAAAAGGCAAACTTGAGTTGGCTGAAGGTTACATTTTTCAATGTGATGCTATCCAATTGCCTATTATTAAAGTAATTTTTACAGGCTGGCCAGGAAGGCTCCTTCTCTGGAGACATTTAAAATCCACCTGGACACACCTCTGTGTAACCAGCTCTATGTGACCCTGCCTTGGTGGGGGTTGGACTAGATGATCTCCAGAGGTCCCTTCCAACCCTAACAATTCTGTGATTCTGAGAATTTTGAGGAGGGTGATTTTTGTGGATAAACTGGAGGGCATGACTCAAAAAAAGCACTCTTCAGGCCTCTTGCATGGTATTAAGACTTCCTGTATGGACATGTTCAAGCTGCTCAAGACACAACTCCTCAGGATACCTCATGGTACTACTTCTCAGGTTTCCTTTCTAGGCTGTAAATAAACACATGCCTCTTACATATGACTATGGTGACTTTAATCATAGAATCATAGCACGTGAAATGAATGAACATTTAGTCTCGATCCCCCTGCCATGGACAGGGACACCTCCCGTTAGATCAGGTTGCTCAAGGCCTTCTCCAACCTGGCCTTGAGCACTGCCAGGGATGGGGTATCCACAACCTCTCTGGGCAACTTGTTCCAGTACTTCACCACCATCACAGCAAAAAAATTCTACTTAATACGTAACCTAAATTTCCTCTTTTTTTAGTTTGTAACCATTACTCCCTGACCTATAATTCCTAACACACAGCCCTCTACTGTGTCTGCTACTACATTCCTAGTCCTCTTTGGCTTCCCTGCAGGCCTTCAGCCAGGACTGTGCAAGGAAGAGGATGGGAAGCTATTCACCCTACACCTGCAACACCAAACGAAGCTCACCCACGAGCACCGTCACTGCTCCGCATGCAGAACGTCTGGAACAGTAACCCAACGCCGACACTGCCGACTTCCTCTTTCAAAGCTTAACAGCCCCTCCAAAAATGGATGCGCCTGGCACAAAGCTTCGCCTTCCGGCGTCCTCCACGGGCCGCACTGAGCTGGGGCTCTTCTCTCCCGCAGCGACCCACGACGACGCCCTCTGGGAAGGCACCGCCCCGCACCCCGGTCTGGAGGGTACCGCCCGCCCCACCCAGGCACACCGGCCCCGCTCCCCGGTCACGGAGGGTACACCGCCCCGCTCCCCCCACCCAGGGCACACCGCCCCGCTCCCCCCACCCAGGACACACCGTCCGGGGCGGGGCCGCGCCTGCGGAGCCCGCGGGCAGCGGGCGGGGCGGCGCAGGCGCGGCGCGGCGGCCGGAGCGGAGGTGAGGCGAGGCGGGAGCGGGCGCCGGTCTCGGGCGGGCAGGGGGTGTTGGCGCTGGGGCCGGGCCAGCGGCCCCTCCGTTGTGCGGGGTGGAGAGCGGGGTCTCCTCGCAGCGGCGTCTCCGCAGCCGTTCCCGCATCCGCCTCCCCGGGAGGTTCAGACCAGACGCGGGAGGTGCGACACGGGCCTCATTCGGGCCGGGAGCGCGGAGGTGCCGCGACCATAGAGGCGGTGGGGCGAGCGAGCCTCTGGTCAGCCCCTGAGTGCGGGGAGGCAGGGGCGGCTGGCGCCCTGTCTCCCCTGAAAACCCTGAAGTCACGGTGTCAGATGGCCAAGTCAGGTGGCCTCGGCTTCCCCGGGCGGGGCACCGGCGGCTCCTGAGGAGCAGCCGGAGAGAAAGGGGCTTTACGCCCCTGCTGTGAGGAAATGCACCCGGACGATCCTGTGTGGGGCTCTCACGAGGAGAAGGAAGTTCAGATACAGAGGTCTGCTGAGTTAGAGCTGCGGTAGCTACGTGGGTGTTCCCTCTGCTGTCCTCAGGAGTGCTGCAGGCGGACGGGAAAGGAAAGCTGAGTTCTGGTCATGGGAGGGCTCCTCGAGATGACTGGGTTTGGGCTTTCCGTCCTGGGTTGCGTTTGTTTGTAAAACTTATATTTAGCGTCTTCCTGTGGCTGTAGCATGACTTCTTGGGCAGATGGAGCTTCCTGTTACCTTCTGCAGCCCCATCAGAATGGGGAACCATAGAGTTGTTGGAAGCTGCTAGAGAAAATGTTTAAAGACTGTGTGTGCACAAGATAAAGACCATCAATACATTCAAATACCATCAATACAAGTGCTGAGCATTTACCTTGTATCCAAACACCCTGCGCATCACCGTGATGAAAAGGATATATTTATCGTGTGAGTTTCCTTACAGAAGTTGTGTGTTGTGCAGGCTCCTCATACTTCTGTAGTGAGTAAAAGCTGTTTGGCGTCTGACTAACATTTGTAAAGCATACCTCTTCATTATGTGGAACATATATATACATATACACATATACACACACTTCCTGAATTAATGAAGTCTACAGTGAAATCTCAGGTGTAGAAGTCAGGTATTATTTGGTAATAAAAGAATTGTAGAAAGGCTTGGGTTGGAAGGGATGTTAAAGATCATTTAGTTCCAACCCACCCTGTCCTGGCCAAGGATGCCACCCAACAGGTCAGGTTGCACAGGGCCCAATTCAACCTGGCCTTGAACACTTTCAGGGATTGAGCATCCACTTCTCTGGGCAACTTGTGGGTGCCTCACCACCCTCACAGTAAATAATTTCTTCCTATTATCTAATCTAAATATCTCCTCTCTTGATTTAAAACATTTCCCCCTTGTCCTATCACTATCTAGTCATGTAAAAATAAGATGAGATGATAATGAGGTCTGCTCTAATTTATTGGTTTTCTCCTGCGAAAACTTTTTTTTTTTTTTTTTTTTTTTTAGGTAATGTAAGCATTTCAGTTACACACGAGAGAGGAAACAGGCATGTCAGCTCTTTGTCCACCACCGTCCCCTGCAGTTGCTAAAACAGAGATCTCTTTGAATGGCGAGTCACCTTTATTAGCTGCCACTTTTGCTTACTGGGACAATATTCTTGGCCCCCGAGTGCGGCATATCTGGGCTCCAAAGACAGAACAGGTGCTTCTCAGTGATGGTGAAATAACTTTTCTTGCCAACCACACGCTGAATGGAGAAATACTCCGGAATGCAGAAAGTGGTGCAATAGATGTGAAGTTCTTTGTTTTGGCAGAAAAAAGGGTAATCATTGTGTCATTAATCTTTGATGGAAACTGGAATGGAGACAGAAGCACATATGGACTATCAATTATACTTCCACAAAGTGAACTTGGCTTCTACCTGCCACTTCACAGAGTGTGCGTGGATAGATTAACACACATTATAAGGAAAGGAAGAATATGGATGCATAAGGTAGGTTAATTGTTCATTACTAAAATCAGTTGTTAGATTGTCACGTGCAAAAGCAAGAATTGAGATTCTGTGACACCTGTAATGTAGCAATTCAAAACTTACAAAAATTCCAAGGAGGCTAACCTCTACAAGTTCAGTTTTGAAGGTTAAAAGTTATCAAATTACTATATCAGGAAATACAAGGTTGGGATTTTTAGCCATGTGATTTATCCTTGTCATATTATATAACCTCTACGAGGCTATCTCAGGTGTCCTGTATAGTTTTTCATGTCTCTGAATTTCATATAAATAGTTGCTTTTAATTATGTCAATTTGTGTATTTAAACTAGGTGGAATTGTAAAATTCTCTGTTTCAAATCTTTGTTTTCACTGCTGAGGTCCAGAAAAGGGAACTGATGCAATTAAGTTTGTCATTGCTGTTACAGTTTTATTTTTCAAAAGGACAGTATTAACAAACAGTTTGGCAGGAGTTGAACTGTGTAGAACTCAAGGGAGAACCACAAAAATACATCTACTTGAGAAACTCAAAAAGGGAAACATGCTAAATTTTTATGAAGAATTGGAACTCTGACCTTTGGGTACACTATGGATATTTCCTTATTTTATGTATTTTTCTTTAAAATGAATAGCAGTCTAATAATAAAAATTAAAGTCTCTGTCACCTTCATGGTGTGCAAGTTGCCTTAGAACAGTAGATTGCATGTCAGCTGTAATGTGTATGGCATTGCTCATTTGTCTCATAAAGTTTTTGTACCTCTTTTGTTCTGCCACCTGCAGTCAACATACTAAAAAATTCCTTTTTGAGTGCTCTTATCAGAACTAATTAAGATTACAGAAATAACAAGCCGATGTTAATTTTTGTGGTGGTGTTTCATTTTTGCTGTATCACCTGAGGATGACTGGGAGTGCTTTCCATCATAGGCTTTTCATGCTTCTAGGGCTTACTTTTTAGTGGAAGGATAATACATAAAGTTCATTTTCAATCCAGGAGAAACACAAATATTTCATTCCTAATACAGTCTTCTAAAAGCCTGCTGGATGTTAGTGCTTTTGATGTAAGTGAATGCTGTCTCACGTTCCTGATTACATTGCTTCTGTCATTTAGTGTCCTCTGTACTGACTTCCAACATGGGTGGTCAAATAAGAATTATCCATCATTCTCAGTTTTTGGGCACTGATCCATTTCAGTATGTTTTCACAGTAGAAGTAGCCATCAAGTGGCAAAACTATGTTTTCAACCAGTTTCTTCAGAAATCAGTCATTAAGTTTTTTGTTCTTTTTCAGGTGTTCTTGAAGCAGATACATTCTGAAATAGATATTTAGTGTCTTTTTTTTTCTTTCTGGCCAAAGATCCCTGGATATATCTGCAGTTCTTAATTTTTAACTAGAGAAGAGAAAACTGCTTTGAACATGTAGATTAAAATTTAGGCATGAGTTATAGAATAATAACGAATTAAAACAGGTTCATTCTGTAGTTTGTGTTTTGAGGCAGTTCAACAACTATGGTTATATACAACAGAACAAAAAATGTTGAAATCCTGTCTGAAAGGAGCTGTCTGTCTGTTCTGGAAGTTCTTACAGTTGTAATTATCAGCTCTCACTGGTCCTGTAGAGGCAGACAGCAGTTCCAGCTAGACTTGAGATGAGAAGAAGCCTTAACTCTAGGATTAGGAGAAACATGGAGCAGTGTTCAGAGTGTCACAGAAACTCTAAAGCAAGTCGTCAGTATGGGGTTAGAAACCCCTTTCATCTACTTCAATTTATATTCTATACGTTTGTCTAATAATTTTGAAGGGTTATATTTCCAGAAAGAAGTGGTTTACACCATATGTTCAGCCTTATCTTCATGAAGACTGACTTCTTTTAAAATCACTGTCAAGGATGTCTTACTTCTGTGACACTGAACTGAAGGGTGGAGGTGATGTGAAGGATCTGGCTTGTTCCAGTATTGTTTTCCAAAGATGCATTTTTTACGTGGTTAGGGCAAGTTGCTCTAGCTTATTCCCTGTTCATCTGCTCAAAAAAAAAATCTTGAAAACTCTTTTCCTACTTGAAGTTGGTTAACTTTGAGTGGATCGGTCACAGAAAACTAATGAGTAATAAAAATGCAATAACCTGTCAACTTCTAGCAAAATATATCATTAGTTCACTCAGCATCTGCTATTTTCTATATATTGTATTGATTGCTCCAGTGATTAATGCTGAATTTTCTTTGTGAATAGTAACTTGATTCCATTGTAAGTTCATTTTTAATACAGTTTGCTACTCAGCTGCTGATGAGTCTGTTTTCAGAGCTTTATTCAGTCTGTTGTATGTTGTGGTTTGTGCATTTTGAGTTTCACGTCTCCTGTACTTGGTTATAAGACAACGTTTTGAAGACTTGTCAGTGTCTCAAGAGGTGGGGGAAAAAAGTCCTTTTTTTTCCTACCCTCCCCAGTGAAACAATTTTTCTCATTCTGAAGATCTTATTTTTCTCTTGCTGCATCAGGAACCCTCATACACAAAGTGGAATTCCTCACCATAATCCAATCATTTGGCATTTTCTTGATCTGTAATGAAGAAACTTCATGTTTTGTCATTGTCATCACACCCTCCCTATCCTGCTACTCCTGCCCAAACTTCAGAGAGGCTTGATGAGGGGCAGAGCAGGGAATGTTGATCTGTGTAGCATGACATCACTTGTTGCTAAAGTCAGCTCTGTAAAAGAAAAGAGACTTGAACATCAAAATTTGAATCTAAGAAGCATGACTCCACAGGAAAGAAGCTGTGCCCTTTGACTTGTGTGCATACATACATAAACAAATAACAGAGCGTTTATATTTAACTGCTTCTCTTGCTCAGGAGAGGCAAGAACATTTCCAGAAGATTGTCTTGGAAGGGACAGAAAGAATGGAGGATCAGGTAAGGACCACCTGGTTCATGCATATGGCACACCATCGCAAAACTGTGTGACTGCATCTGATGACTGTAGAACTGCTGCTTATTTTGGGGATCCAGGAGGATACTGTGGACTAGCTGATGATGTGCCATGCACAGGATTCAAAGTTTTTGAAGACAGGATGATGGAAGCTGTGACCAAGTAGAAGGAAAATATATTTCATCACTTTAGGGAAATCTGTGAAGAATATTACCTTTCAGAAAAGGAAAATCACGTACTTGAACGTGAAGCTCTATAAAGGCAGGAGCTTCCATAGAGTCATACCGGCTTCCTGTCAAGGTTAGTTTTTCACTAGGTTAGGTCACCTTTTTAGTTACAGAGATATACAGAGTGTCATATTGGAATGTGGTTGGAGACCTAATGGATGAGATTGAAAATAATTTGATTTCTGAAACTCTAAATGTGAAATTGTGGCTTCAGTTTCTTGTCATAGATAAAATTGGAGAAGTATTTTTGTATGTTAATAACTCCTATGCCTGCTTTTGGTTTCCTGTTACTGTTAAAACATAAGACTTAGATGTAAAATGCTTAAGAGTGGTTGCATGTAATATAGGATGATCAGATCAGCTCACTCCAAATACTTCTTGTCTAGGCCCATCAAAAGCAATTGTGAAAATTAGCATAAGACCCTGGAAATATATTTTAGACATGATGTTGAGAAGTCAAATGTGTTTCCAGTTCATATCTGTTGATGAGCAAAGCCCAAGAAGTCTGTGCATCAATTTCTGCTCATACCACCCTTCCAAATAATAGGAAGTTAAGGATATTTTGCATGTAATATGGCAAGTTCATATTAGTAACTTCTAAGACTACCCAATGTGCTTTTACTTCAAGCATTTTATTTATTGTGCAGGGTCAGAGCATCATTCCAATGCTGACAGGAGAAGTCATTCCTGTAATGGAACTCCTTTCATCTATGAAATCACACAGTGTTCCGGAAGAAATAGATGTAAGTCCTGGTTTTATTTGTATTCTGAATAAAAAAAGGTGTCTTTGGCCCTCTGGATAAAAAAGTTAATTTGGCCCTTTGGTTTGACACTCACTTTGGCAGAGAAAAAGCTGCTGTTTGCCTAAGTTCTTGTAACTTTTTTCACGTCAAGTTCTCCTAAGTGGTGTAGGGAATGGCAGTGTTTTTCATGGTCAGCACTTGGCAAAATTAACTGCTTAGGATGATACCATTTTAAGAGCGCAAAGACTATTTTATGCAAACCAAAATGAATGGACAGAGAAATAGATTTGATCTTGATACCTTTCTCAGCGCATTATAGTGTTCTCACAGAAGAAATAGAAGTGATCTCACATTCACTGATGTAAAGTGCTCTGGACAAGGTCATAGAAACAAAAAAACGCTAGGAGGAGCCTGACTTGTGACTGGTGAAGAACACGTAATAATCAAGTGACTTTCTCATTTTGAAAATTCTTTATCTGAAGTCAGAAGGTCTTTTTAAGACTGTGTTTTTTGGGGAAGTCTTGCAACTTAAAGAGTTTCCCAGAAGTTCCTGGCTATCAATGAAAGTGAAAATCAGTTAACTGGATGATGTTTCATATCCTTGTCTAACTTTTTTTTATAACTACTTGTATTTCAGATAAGTGACACAGTGCTAAATGATGATGACATTGGGGACAGTTGCCATGAAGGCTTTCTTCTCAAGTATGAAATTCAGTTTTGATTTATGCTGTAGTAAAATGGTTTAAACTTGTGTGTGCATCTAAATGTCTGTCTGTCTGTGCATGTAAACTTGTACTGGAATAGTTTAAGAGGGGGGACAATGACATGTATTTGGCTTTTTGAGATTTTTGTCTATAAAATGCTGTAAAGGCTTCTGTGGTTTTAGAATAATGGCTCTGGGCTAATAGCTGCATCTCTGTAGATGGTTGTCGAAGATACAAATATAATTTTTCTTTGATACTTTAATTTTATGAGATTGTAAGTCAAAGTCTTACATTTTTTATTAAAAAGTAAAAAAAACATGTAGAAACATGGTATGATGTACAGAGTGCTTATTGTTGAATTGTGTATTTCTCTTTTTCCCCCATTTTTAATGTTTAAGTGGAACTAGTTGAACTTGAGAGCAACTTGGTCTCTTCCTGTGGGAAAGCCTATTTCATTAGTTTTAATTGATGTTCTTTTACCTTTCATCACATCTTCTGTGTGTAACTGCATTAATTTATGTAGTGCTTAGTGCCTTCTATATATACAGCATCACAGATGCTTTCAATACTGCAGAAACTGTTGAACTTTTGGATTTCAGCAGTTATCTACACAGCTGTTGAAAGTGCCATGGTTATGGGCCTATAGGCCATATTTATTTATTTGTGGAGCACTTTATTCTTCTTGTCAAGGTGCTGATTGTTTCATTTGAAAAGTCTGATTAAATGTATTAAGTTATGTTTGTTTTTACTTGCAGTGCAATTAGTTCACACCTGCAGACCTGTGGTTGTTCGGTAGTCGTAGGAAGCAGTGCAGAAAAAGTAAATAAGGTAACGTACTTTCCAAAAACTGAACTTAAATGCTGTTAGGAGTGTTAGTGTGTTACTTGGAACAAAGTTTATTTATAAATATACTTGAGGTTGAAGGAGGAAGGAATACTGTTATCTGGCTATCTTTAGCTGACTGATCTTGCAGATGATAATTCTACCTGAAAATTGCCTTATCAACTGTATTCTGACAACCATAAGAAAACAAATTCATTTAATTGATACAGTATATGAGTAGTAAATGAGCCTGAGCTTTTAAAATTAGGTTTGTTAGCTAAAATAAACAGATTGAAGATATGTGACTGGCTTGTCCATTTCAGCTGTGTCAGAGAATCATAAAATCATCAAGGGGGGAGGAGACCTTTAAGATTGTGAAGTCGAACTGTCCACCCAGCACTGCCACTGTAACCCCTAAGCCACATCACTCAGCATTAGATCCAGACACTCTTGAACATCTCCAAGAATGGTGACTCCTCCCTAGGAAACCTATTCCAATGCCTGACCACCCTAACAGGGAAAATTTTTTTTCTAATATTAAACTTGAATCTTCCCTGCTTCAGCTTAAGCTGCAGCTTCAGCCATTTCCTCTTGTCCTCTCACTGCAGGCACAGCAGAAAAGACCAGTCCCCACCTTGCCACAACCTCCTTTCAGGTGGTTTTAGAGAGAAATGAAGTGCCCCCTGAGCCTTCTCTTCTTGAGACTAAACAAACCCAGTTCCCTCAGCCATTCCTCATAAGATGTTTCCTAAGCCCTTCACAGGCCTTGTTGCCCTTCACTGGACACGCTCCAGCTCCACAGTGTCCTTTTTAAAGTGAGTGGTCCAGAACTGGACACAGTTCTCAAGGTGTGGCCTCACCGGTGCCGAGTACAGGGGGATGATCACTTCCCTAGTCCTGCTGGCCACACTGTTCTTGATACAGGCCAAGATGCCATTGGCCTTCTTGGCCACGTGGCACACTGTTGGCTCACACTGAGCCGGCTGTTGACCAGCACCCCCAGGTCCCTTTCTGCAGAACAGCCCTCGAGCCGTTCCTCCCCCAGCCTGTAGCGCTGCAGGGGCTTGTAACCGGAGTGCAAGACCTGGCACTTCACCTTATTGAACCTCATGCAGTTGTCCTTAGTCCACTGATTGAATCTGGCCAGGCCCCTCTGCAGAGCCTTCCTACACTCAAGCAGATCAATGCTCCCACCCAGCTTATGTCAAATCAGCAGTGACTGCTGATACTCAAAGGGAAACCGGAGAAAATAAAATTCTCAGATCTTAGATGAAGTCAGCTAACCACAGTTAATATATAGGTTTTCAGAGATGTCGGATTTACACACAATTAGGTTATTGGAGATGTTATGTTACATACATACACACACACATATATATAATATAAGGAAATGTTAAAGGCTTAGGTAGTTATAAAAAGCTTACAGATCATGAAATAATTAAGGAAGAGGATTTAAGGTCTAAATGGTTATGAATATGTAAAATAATGTATCAATAAGCTAAAGACTATAGGAAAAAACAGTGTAAAAGAGTATGAGTCTCAAGATACATCCAGGGTAGATTTCACACATTAATTCTACACGTGTTCTTATCAGCAGCATGCTCCTTGTGTCACGGTACAACTGTTCTGAAGTAATTGCTTCCTTAATGGCATACTTTAGCTTGCCTTGAAATAAAAAACACCTGTGGCATCTTGTGGTGAAAAGCATCAGTCAAAAAACTCTGTTGTCGTTGTTTTAGATACTGCAGAAAGACATTGTGCAAGATGTCTTTTCAAATACCTCAGACACAGATAGGACACCGCAGGTTAAGACTTAAAGATTAGCAGAATGGAATACATGTTGTATTTGAAGTGATTACTGGTAGCTGTTTCAGGAGTTTGAAAAAGGATAATGAAGTACCTGTATTCATTTTAATTGAGAGTTTAAGGAAATTACTGAGGAAATAAGCATGGGTACTTATTTAGGAAATTGACTTGCCTGATTTGAGACAATAACTGCTATTTCAATACAGAATGAATAAGAGACTTAAAAGGCTAGGAAAGTAATCACGTTAGCTCATGTTTATGTAACAGAGGTAGAAGAAGGCAAAAGTGATTTGTTCTACATAATTGGATAAAAAACAAACTTTGCAAAAGAGTGTTGGATTTTTTCATTATTTGACTAGTTAGAGTAGCATGGCTTACACCTTAGTAATGTAAGCTTGTCATTGTTCTGTGGCCTTGGTAAAGTTTCAGCTTTTTTAATAAGGTCAACTTTTTTGTTCATCATTTGACGTGCCTAATGCAGTCTAGTTAGACTTACTTCCTTACATTTTAGTGTTTTTCAAAATTGTCCTTTTTAATGCAGATTGTGAGAACACTGTGTCTATTTCTTACACCATCTGAACGGAAGTGTTCCAGGCTCTGTAGAAATGAGTCTTCTTTCAAGTACGAGTCGGGACTTTTTGTTCAAGGCTTACTTAAAGTAAGTATACTTAGAAAGTTCTGTTCTTCTGTAGTTCAAGAGCATCCTCCAGTGTGTTTGTGCATATGATATGCATACACACATTCACATTCAAAGTAATGCGTCATCTGCCCTTGATTCTTTTCTGGTCCTGTGGCTTTCCCTGTAACTATTTGCATGCTAAAATTCCCGGCCAGTCTTTTCCCTGATACATCTGTTTCTTGAGGATTGTTCAGAAGTGTTCCTGTACTTTGAGGTACAATAATAATACTCTTTTGTCTTCTTGGGGCTGGAATCCCAAAAGGTGTTGAGTTTTCGTGTTCTACCAAAACCGAAGAAGGAAGAGTTGCATCAGTCTTGCAGTTTCCAAGTATTTTAAATAGGGTGTAACAATAGGTGAAGATTGATAAAAAAATAATGCTTCTTGCTCTGGTGAGCAGTCAGAACTTACCAGGTAAATATAGTACTGTAATGCTAATAGCCTTACAAGCCAGGTGATGCTATACACAGGTCACCTCACTGCCTGTTTTCACTGTTATGTTAAGGGAATCACCCAGTATTAAGGACTTAGTACTAGGATACAACCACCAGTTCTATTAAATAAAATGTGTTTAAACAAATGGAGTATAAAATGTAGGCATGGTGCATTAATATTGTTTTGTTCCGGTACACCTTTGCACTTTTAACTGGAAAAATGTTTTTTTTTTTCACTAAACCAGGATGCTACAGGAAGCTTCGTGCTGCCCTTCCGTCAAGTCATGTATGCCCCATACCCTACCACACATATAGACGTGGATGTCAACACAGTGAAGCAGATGCCCCCCTGTCACGAGCACATCTATAACCAACGACGATACATGAGATCGGAGCTGACAGCATTTTGGAGAGCTAATTCAGATGAAGAAATGTCTCAAGATCATATTATCCACACTGATGAGAGTTTCACACCTGATTTGTACGTACTCCTCTCACATCTCACAAAGTGACTTGATTTGGGACAGGAGAGTGACCGAGTAAAAAGCTACTTCTAATAAAGTACATGAAGGTTTTTGCTTTTGAGAAACTTTCAGCTCTGGTAGTTACATTTGACTTGGAGGAATTTACCAAGTCCTGCAGTAGTTTTGTTGCATTAAATATTATTGAAATTCATTTTTTGTGATAATTCTGACCATTTTATGTTAATTTTATTGCCTGTTTAATTAGGGTTATAACAGAGCTAAATGCAGGGCCCAATGGCTTTCCTGGGTTTATTTAATTTCATCTGAAAGTTTTGCTTTAAAATTCTGCATTAGCTTTAAAAATATCAGAAACCATTAAAGTTTTAAATTCACTTCTAATTTCAACCAGATTATAAACAGTAATGCTATTGCTGTGCTCAGATGCTGGAAGGTTATGGTCCCTTGAAGACATTACTTCACATGTTTGTTTCCTTTCTTTTCTGTAGAAATGTCTTTCAAGATATCCTGCATCGAGATACTTTAGTAAAAGCTTTTCTGGATCAGGTAATTAACTGTTGCCTTTTCAGAAAGAACAAGAGCTAGAGTTCACTAGTTTGAGCTCTAGTGACAGGTAATATAATGTAAATAGATCATTTGTTGGTTTGGTAGCTCTTCATCATACTACTGCTATGATTCTTCTCTATGTAAGTAGAAAGAAAAATATTAGTATAATACTGAAAATCCTGCTTAGGTATGAAAAACAATGCACATTTTCTATTGTTGTGCAACACTGTCAACAATTACAGTAAAAAAAGCTACCTGGCTGAGAATAATTTCAGATAATTTTAATTTAAAAGAAAAATAATACTGTATCCAAACAGTACTGTAAAACAGCTTAATGTATTTCATCTGAACAGATAAAAAACTAAGAAAGACTGTATCTAAAAATCTGCTGTTATTTGCTATAATTAAGAATTATATATATATATATAGCTTTGCTATAATTAAGAATATATTACATGTGTTTGCAATGTTTCATTATTTTACACATTCTTAACATGGTTCTCAAATTTCCATATCTACCTAATATTTTGATATAATTTTTAACAGATCTTTCACCTGAAGCCTGGCTTGTCTCTAAGGAGTACTTTCCTTGCACAATTTCTGCTGGTCTTGCACAGAAAAGCCTTAACTTTAATAAAATACATAGAGGATGACACGTAAGTGAACAGATAATAGAAATCAGGGTCTGAGAAGCTTCTTATGCTTTTTTTTACAACACACATTTTCATTTTCTTGCAGGCAAAAAGGAAAAAAACCTTTTAAGTCTCTTCGAAGCTTAAAGGTAGATCTTGACTTAACAGCAGAGGGCGATCTTAACATAATAATGGCACTGGCTGAGAAGATTAAACCAGGTCTACATTCCTTCATCTTTGGGAGGCCGTTCTATACCAGTGTACAAGAACGTGATATGCTCATGACATTTTAAAGTTCTCCATGTGTCTGATATTGCACGGAATTTGTCAGTGTGACACCACACTGGTGACAATCATTGACGACTGAGGATGTGGCCTCAGGAGCTCAGTAACACTAAGGTGTGTCCGAAGCTGGAGGGGTCTTGTTAGAGGGGATATCAGCTTAGCTAGACAAGCATGATTATTTTAATGAATTTGTGTCTTCTGTGTACTTTTTTAAATTGTAAAAGTAAATGTTACCAGAGGATCCTCAGCCATATTGGCTTAGTAGATAAATTTGAACGTGTTTTGGTGTACGATAAAGGGAAGCATTTTAATTTTTGTTCCCCAGAGACTTCCTTCAGGTATATGTCAGTTATTCCCTGTTCTGCTGTGTCCGTGTTTTCAGTGTTTCCGCACAAAACAATATGTATGTCCTCTCCAATCATGGAAGTTGCACAATAGGCACTTTCTGAGAGTTTTAAAGAGTTCTTAAAAGTGTTTGTACGTATGTGGTACAAATCTGAAATATGACTTCCCTTATCTCCCTTTTTAACACCACTGGCTCCTTCTTTTAGAGCATTTAAACATTTGGAATTTTTAACGTACTACAAGGTACTATTCTTGTGTGAAAGCTGTTAATTATTAGCAGCCTAAACAGCAGCACGCCACACATGGGAACTAGGTCATTATTGAAGCAGCTTTGTGTGTGTATATGCCAACCAGGATACTCTGTCACATGTTGTTGGGCCATCCTGCAGTGGAGTGTGCAGTGATCCAGCATTACGGAGCTCTTCCAAAACACAAAACTGAAAACTTGGTGTCATTCCACGGCACTTGTCAGTCTTTCTGTCTGTAAACTGCTACTGGTAGTTCCATTGTCAGTTTCAGTAAGATGCATAGAATCATTTGGACTGGAAAAGACCTCCCAGATCATTGAGTCCAACCATTAACCCAGCACTGCCAGGTCCACAATTAAAAGATGTTCCTAAGTGCCACATCTACACACTTTTTGTACCCTTCCAGGGACGATGATGCCACCACTTCCTTGGGGAGCCTGTTCCGGTGCTTGACAAAACATTCAAATTAAAGTATTAGACCTTCCCTGGAGCTGGTAGACAGGGACAGGAAGCCAAACAGCCCCCCTGTATTCCAGGAGGAAATAGTCAGTGACTTACTGAGCCACCTGGATCCACACTGGTCCATGGGACCAGATGGGATCCATCGTAGGGTGATGAGGGAGCTGGCGGAAGAGCTTACCAAGCTGCTCTCCATCATTTACCAACAGTCCTGGCTCACTGGGGAGGTCCCAGATGATTGGAAGTTGGCAAATGTCACACCCATCTACAAAAAGGGCTGCAAGGAGGACCTGGGAAACTCCAGGCCTGTCAGCCTGACCTCAGTGCCTGGCAGAGTTATGGAGCAGATCATCCTATGTGCAATCACACAGCAGCTCCAGGATGGACAAGGGATCAGAGCCAGCCAGCATGGGTTTAGGAGGGGCAGGTCCTCTTTGACTAACCTGATCTCCTTTTACGATCAGGTGACCCACCTGGTGGATGAGGGAAAGGCTGTGGATGTGTCTGTCTGGACTTCAGCAAAGCCTTTGATACTGTCTCCCATAACATACTCCTGGAAAAGCTGGCAACCCACGGCTTGGACAGGGGCACTCTGTGCTGGGTCAGGAACCGGCTGGAGGGCCGGACCCGGAGAGTGCTGGTGAACGGGGCTGCCTCCAGCTGGCGGCCGGTCACCAGTGGTGCCCCCCAGGGGTCAGTGCTGGGCCCAGTCCTTTTTAACATCTTTATCGATGATTTAGGTGAGGGGATTGAGACCATCATCAGCAAATTTGCAGATGACACCAAGTTGGGAGGGAGTGTCGACCTGCTGGAAGGCAAGAGGGCTCTGCAGAGGGACCTGGATAGGCTGGAGAGTCGGGCTGATTCCAGCGGTATGAGGTTCAACAAGGCCAAGTGCCGGGTCCTGCACTTTGGCCACAACAACCCCCTGCAGCGCTACAGGCTGGGCACAGAGTGGCTGGAGAGCAGCCAGGCAGAAAGGGACCTGGGGGTGCTGATCGACAGGAGGCTGAACACGAGCCAGCAGTTTGCCCAAGTGGCCAAGAAGGCCAATGGCATCCTGGCCTGCATCAAGAACAGTGTGGCCAGCAGGAGCAGGGAAGTGATCCTTCCCCTGGACTCAGCGCTGGTGAGGCCACACCTTGAGCATTGTGTTCAGCTCTGGGCCCCTCAGTTCAGGAAGGATATTGAGGTGCTGGAGCGGGTCTAGAGAAGAGCAACTGGTGGAGACTGGTGAAGGGACTTGAGCACAAGTCCTGTGAGGATAGGCTGAGGGAGCTGGGGTTGTTTAGTCTGGAGAAGAGGAGGCTCAGGGGTGACCTCATCATTCTCTACAACTGTCTGAGAGGAGGTTGTAGCCAGGTGGGGGTCGATCTCTCCTCCCAGGCAATCAGCAGCAGGACAAGAGGGCACAGGCTTGAGCTCTGTCAGGGAGGTTTAGGTTGGATATTAGAAAGTTCTTTACAGAGAGGGTGATCAGGCATTGGAATGGCCTGCCCAGAGAGGTGGTGGATTCACCATCCCTGGAGGTCTTTAAGACGAGTCTGGATGTGGCACTGAGTGCCATGATCTGGTAATCACAGTGGGGTTAGATCAATGGTTGGCCTTGATGATCTCGGAGGTCTCTTCCAACCCAGTTAATTAATTCTGTGATTCTATGATTCCCAAAGAACACACAGGTGATGGACAAACTAAAAGATAAACCAGTTTTTTTTTTTTTAATTTTACATCACAAATAATATATTTAGCAATTCTTAATTCAGAGACAAGCACAGCTATGAACTAATGTGATTAGTATTTTACAAAGTTAATTCTAGTCATTAAGCTTGACTACCTTATTAGTTCAGCTTAGCACACCTCCCAGCTTTTCTTGAAAATAAAAACACATTTTCTATTTGCATGTCTCAACCTTTTTTTCTTAATAGAAAGTAGAGTGATGTGGTGTCAGGTGAATCCAGATTTTTTTGGTGGTGTGTTCAACTGAAATCAGAGAAATCTGTCCTGCATGTTGTTGTATCTTTCTCTTTTTGGACAAACATAGGAATTTGTGTCATGCTTCAGTATAAAGCCATAACTCAATATTCATTGTGAAGGAGCTGCACTTGTAATTGGAGAAGCCACAGTTGCTTTATTGCTTACATTGTTTATAACACTCCATGGTGAACAGGTTTCTGTTTTCAAGGTATCTTTTTAGTGTTATTTTCATGCAGTGAGACATAAAAGTTAACAGAAGTTAGTTCACAACTTTTCCTGAAATGTCTAATGCTTGGATTTTAAAAAGAATACTGTCCCTTATTTAGATGCCAAAATTCCGTTACACTTCCTGAAAGACAAGGATTCTCAATTAAATGTTTAGAGCTGAAAGATGTGGAATTCAGCCCCAGCTGCACACCATTTTTGTGAATGAGCATCAGCAGCATTACCTGGTTGCAAAAGTAATTACATTTTATGGAGCCATCTTTTTGCTGCACATGCATGTAGGACTCCTGCAGTGAACTTGGCGATTCATCAAAAGAACTTGTCAGAATTATACTGACATAAGTAACTTGTGCTGAAATTCTGTTAGTCTTCCTACCATTACCATTCCCTTCTGTGTTTTCAATTAATTGAGGCATTAGAAAAGAGCCTGATTTTGCTTAAGTTTGTACTGTCATGTCTAAGACAGTGAAAGAAATTTCGTAAACACTGCCAAAACTTCTAATGTAGAAGTTGTGCCAAAATATAAGGAGCTTTAAATCTGCTGCTGAAAATTTAACCTTTTGGCTTGATAAGTATTGGAAACTTAACACTGACACTACTAACACTCAAGATACTTGTTTACTGAAGATCCCGTCACTTTGAAATTACTAAAAGCTACAAACTGTCTCAATGGCTACTTTTGTTGCACAGCTGTCACAAGTGCACTGTCACAAGTGCAGAATGTATAGCGAAGTACATTGTTAAATGCATCTGCATGTTGTGTTGTAAATCTTGCTCAGGAAACAAACTAATAAAATTCATGCACAAGTTTTGACTTTAACTGTTGCTGATTTTTTTCACAGAATTTCTGGTCTGTATCTGATAGCATCATTATCTTTTATCTTTTTAATTAAAGGAGAAATCTTTGTTCCTTCTTGTTAAATTAAAAATTTTACTGGAATGTTATCATTGATGAAACTCATGTATTGGTTAGCTTTCTCCTTTTCTGTTAAGGAATTACTTATTTCAGTCTGAAATTGATGGCACTTGCTGTACCTCTGATGTGCTCAAATATGAATTTAGCATCTACTTTTAAAAAGCTTTAATCCCATATATTTTATCTGGCATTCAGTGAATACCTTTCTTCAAGATTTTGCTTCCTTACATTTAAAAGAAAATGGCAAATTTATTTCCTCCAGTTGTTTTTGAAAGGGAAGTAGTGTTTTAGAACATTTTTAGTAGCACTTTATTCTTGGTCTTTGCATACCTATAAAGGTAGCACAGAAAGATATCCACTGGAATGTCTGGTTTCTGAGTACCACAGAGGATATTTCAAGGCTACATACCAGTGTGCTGTAATGTCAGTTTTATTCCAAAGCAGAATAGGCATTTTGGTGATGTTCTAATCCCTAAGGCAGCAGTATGATACGCCAGTATAGAATGCCAGGACTTTGGCCCTGCATTCTTTCCAGGGAAAAGGTGTTAGGGTTTTTCTATTCTCAGATCTGTGAAGATAAAGGAATGTGGTCCAAAGCATAAGGACTGTGTTACACAGGCATGTTGTTCACCTCTATTGTCTCATCAGAACTTACAAAGCATGTGCTTTGTCCTCTTGAACTGTGAGGAGCCACAAACCTTATGTGTTAGAATGCAGAGAAGGTTTTTGCACATGAATAGAACGTGGTTGTGTCCTTTATCTCTGTCCTGAGATAGAGCTCCTGTTACACCTCCTGCTTGGACAAAACACCAAGGACACTCCATAGCAGGTTGTCCTTATGTACAAAGTTCTTCACATAATATTTTGACTAAAGGAAGTAATTATCTTGCTTCTCAAAGTCATACTGTTCATGTGTATGTCTAGAGACTTCAAACACAGAAAATTTTCAGTTAAAGCTCAAAAGTATGAAAAAAAGGACACAGTCCTGGCAATGACCATCAAGTAAGTGTGACTTCAGTTCTAAGTGAAATAATAAAGCCACTCTGCAAGAACTTCTGTCTCTCAATTAACATAGGGCAAAATATCAGAGGAAAGAAATTTCTACTTCAGCAACACAGAACTGGCAACTGATAATTGTTTTCTTCTCTTAGATATTTCTCTCTTGTCATGTAGATATACGAGGCCCTAGACAACTGGAGAAGGGCCAAAAGACAGTCTGGGGAACTGTAGCTTGACCAGTTTTGGTCAGGTGCCTGAAAAAATCATGGTATGTGTCCTCTTAGAGCTCATGTCTTACCACATGAGGAAGGACAAGGTGATTGGGAACTGAGAGCACAGCTTGACAAAGGGAAAAATGCTTCACCCATCTCATTACTTTTTGTGGTGAAATGACTGGATTTGTGCACATGTGAAAAACAGGATACAATTTAGGCTGACTTCAGCAAGGCTTCCAGCATCCTAACATAATGTCCCAGTAACCAAGCTGCATGTTGGGGTGTGGGTGGGTGGCCCCCCAGGTTGGGCTCAGAGGTGATGGTCACCTGTCTGTATCTGCCAGGAGGCTGATGTCCTGTGAGATCTCACAAGGGAGAGATCTCCCTGGGGTTTGTCGTGTTTAAAAATCTCTATCTGTGACCTGGGAAGGTGACCAAGTGCATCTTTTAAGTTTGCAAGTGATGTCAAGTCATGGACCACCATTCAATGTACATGCGGGCAGGGCAGCTGTCCAAAGGGACCAGGATCAGTGGGAGGAAAGGACAAGTTTTGTGGGAGAGCCCAGCTGGTTCTGGGCTCTCTGTAAACTGAGATACCGAAGATGGAACTTCTTACACCTGGCAGAGGGTTAACCATGGACAGTAGGACTGTGACACAGAGTGGGTTTCCTGTTAGGAATGTTAACCTATTGTGTTAAGACATGTGGCTGTGTGTCCAATCATGAGTTGTTATGTTAGTGGTAAACCAATGCTGTGTATACATGTGTCACCCAGAACTGTATAAAGGTAGCTGTACTGTTGCAATAAAGCAATCTGGTATCCTGAACCAGGATAAAGCAACCAGGTATCCTGTCGCCATCCCGCTTCGACCGCGACAAAGTTTCCCATGTACTTGGGGCAGCAGGAAAGGGCAGCTCTGCCCTGGGCAGGCAGAGTTCTGGCAGCCATGCCTGTGAGACCAGGGGCAGCTCTGGGGAAAAGGCCCTGGGTCCTGGTGGGCAGAGAGCTGAGCAGAACCAGAGGGACTGGAGATAAGGAAATCTTATTCCACATGAGGACAGCTGGACAGTGGGCATGAGCCAAGGGAGGTGTGCCATCTCTGTGCTTGGATAGTTTCTAGCCCCCACAGGATAACACCCTGAGACCTGGTCTGACCCCAGGGCTGAGCCTGCTCTGGGAAGGGGTAGGAATGGAGGCCTCCTGAGGTCTCTGCCAGTCCAAGCTGTCCTGTGGTGCTGTGGTCTGGCAGACAGGCTGCAGCCATTGTTCCTTAGAAGCAGAGAAAACTGAGGTGGGCAGTGACCTCTGGAGGGTTGTGGGTCCAACCACCTGCTCAGCCTGGGCCACCTCCTGTCAACGTTGCTCATGGAATTGTCTAGTCTTTCCTGACCAGAACTTCACTGCAAAAGCTTAAAGGTGGCCCTGGATTCACGAGTGAAACTGTAGGTCTGCTAGTATATGAATCCCAAAATGAAAAGTGTAAGTATCAGGAATTCTACTATCAGTATTCCTATACAATTCCTATACAATCTACAGGGTAGAACATCTATAGGGTGTGCCATGATAAAATTAACAGCAGTTTGTCCTTTAATTGAAAGATGGAGGCTAATCAGGACATTTTGTAGAATCATCTTGATGCCCAAAAAGGCGGATAAAAAGAAAACTGCTTAAAGGCAGAATTTTGAGCCCATAAACAGCAGGTATTTATTGCGACATCAGGGTAGCTTCCAGCTCAAAGCTTTGGACAAAAAGCTCCGAAGTGGTTCAGTAAAAACAAGCAATTTATACAGTTTCCAATCATGATTACAACATAATCACATGCATATTCATATTATTGCATCATTAGATTACAATATTCATAGCAGGTGGAGTCGGGGTGGAGAATGAGGCATGGTGTCTATTTTGAGGAATAAATTAGGGCAGTTCCAGTCTTGCCTTCATCCTGGGGTCACAAATCTAATCCTCATCATCGGGTGACCTTGGGGACCTTCTGTTCTTTCCATTGTTCTATCTTCTGATCATCCAGGCTTGAAGAAACCCTTGGCTCTAGGCCTACTTTACCTATTCAAATGTCTACCTTGGCTCCTCTGGATGAGATTTATGTGTGTTGAGTTCTTTGTCTAGTCTTTGTTGTGGTTCCTTTAAGGTCTAATGCCCTTAGTACAGTACATAGCCTTCCTGTAAATACAGCTTACAGTAAACGAAGTACAGGGGGTAAGGGGGGGCTCTTATGGGTTTACAGTAAAAGTGTTTCAATTAACCCTTCCTGTTTCAATCTCTCTACAGCAAGGAAGCAAAGACTTTAAACAGAGTAATGTAGACATATGTCTCAGTTTAAATGAGACAAGGGTCTTTTGCTGAGGATGGGTTAGGAGAAAAGACCCAAACTTCTCTTTCTAAGCAATTATAAATTCAAAATTAAGAGGCTCCAATTGAAGGAAAACAAATTATGGAAAAGGGAAAATAACAGCCCTTTATTAAAAGGTATGTGTGTGTTAACAGAAACATGGAAAAAACCAAGTAAAACAACCAAACAATACTCCTATACCCACCAATAATCCCCTTCAAGAACAAAACCGATAAACCGGTAAAATGAAAATTCAATTTTTTGCACCCTTTGATGCAGTTCCAACCACAGTCAGCAGGGGGCGCCGTCGGGTCACTGGAGATGCAAAACTTGTAGTGTCCTATAGTAGCCACTAGGTAGCGCTGTTGGATCACTGGAGGAGCAGAACTTGTAATGTCCGGTGCCTGTCACCAGGCGGCGCTGTGAGATCCCTGGTTGCCACCACTTGGGTTGGGGGAAGGGGAAAAATCAACACCCCCCAGGGTATATCAGAGAAAAAAAAACAAAACAAAAAAACCCCTTGATTCCCCTTCCCTCCCCACACTGGGAAAGGAGGGGGGGGGAAGGGAAAGGAAATAAAATAAAAAAAAAACAGCAATAAAACAGAAAGTTCTCCCAATGGAAGAAAACTCACGATCTTCAAGTAGTTAGAATCCACCTCAGGCAAAAACTGCAACTGGCAATGGTTCAGGGCAAAAAGAGACAGCAGCGAGCTTCTCTGATGATACGACATGTCCTGCCGTCCCCAGCCCCAGCCACACACTGGCACACACACCCCCCAGTCCCAGCCACACCGTAGCCCCCCCCCCAAACTCCTCCCACTTTGTTGCCCAGCAGATGAGAGAAAAAAGTAAAGTGCAAGTCCTTATCTGCCTTGTCTCCTAGGAGACTAATGTCTGGCCATCAGCCATGGGGGCTAGGTCTTTTGTACTTTGAAGTGCTTATCTTGATAACCAGGGGGGAAGGGAGAAAATTCTTCACTTGGCTTATGAGAGCTAGCTAAAACTATGACAACATATAAGCAAGGGTAAGTAAGTAAAATCAAGATACTTTTGGATATTTTGGAGTTTCAAAGGAAAAGTATGATGCTCAAAGGTAAACATCTGAAGCTTCATCCCTAATCTTTATCTAATAAAAAGCCAAAATTTTTGAAATTGTACAACAGCCAAAAGCTAATGGTTGAAACTTTGAGTTCAACACCAATTTCTCTTTGATTTAGGAAATGGTCTCATAGTACCAGAGGGTGTCTTTTCCACTGTCAGTTAAACAGACTTATGGCCAGACCTTTTGTTTTCAGTAGAAGCAGCAATGTAAGAAATGTCAGGAATACTGACATTTACTAC